GCAGAGCAGACTCGATGGGCCAAATAGCCTATTTTCTGCTCCTATGTCTTATGGTTTTATGGTCTTATGGCTGCTTTTAACATTGGATCTGGAATAGAAACATGCACACCATCGAAAATAGGAGCAGCTCGAGGCTATTCGGCCCTTTGAGTCTGCTCTGCCATTCATCATGATCATGACTGATTGTCCAACTCAATAATTTAATCCTGCTTTCTCCCTATAACATTTGATCCCATTCACCCCAAGTGCAATATCCAGCTGCCTGTTGAATAGATTCAATGTTTTGGTATCAACTACTTCCTGTGGTAATTAATTCTGCTGGCTGATCACCCTTTGGGTAAAGAAATGTCTCCTCATCTCTGTCTTAAATTGTCTATTCCGAATCCTCAGACTATGACCCCTGGTTCTGGACACACCCACCATCAGGAACATCCTCCCTGCGTCTACCTTGTCTAATCCTGTTAGAATTTTGATGTCTCTATGAAATCCCTCCTCATTCGTCTGGACACTGGTGAGAACAATCCCAACTTAGTCAATCTCTCCTCATATGTCAGAGCTGCCATCCCCGGAATCAGCCTGGTAAACCTTTGCTGCACTCCCTGGAGAGCAAAAACATCCTTCCTCAGAAAAGGAGACCAAAACTGCACACAATATTCTAGGTGTGGCCTTACCAAGGCCCTGTACAACTGCAACAACACATCCCTGCTCCTGCACTCGAAACCTCTCACAATGAAGACCAACATACCATTTGCCTTCTTTACCGCCTGCTGCACCTACATGCTTACCTTCAGTGACTGGTGTACAAGGACACGCAGATCCCGCTGCACACTCCCCTCTCCCAATTTACAGCCTTTCAGGTAGTAATCTACCTTCTTGTTTTTGCTTCCAAAGTGAATACCCTCACATTTATCCAAATTATACTGCATCAGCCATTGGTTTGCCCACTCACCCAACCTGTCCAGATCATGCTGAAGGATCTCTGCTTTCTCATCACAGTTCATCCTCCCACCCAACTTGGTATTGTCTACAAACTTTGAGATGTTACATTTTGTTCCCTCATCCAAATCATTAATATATATTGTGAACAGCTGGAGTCCCAGCACTGATTCCTGTGGCATCCCACTAGTTACTGCCTGTCAATTTGAAAATGACCCATTAATTCCTACTCTTTATTTTGTCTCTGGCAACCAGTTTTCTATCTATTTCAATACACTTGGCCCAATTCAATACGCTTTAATCTTGCTCAATAATCGCTTATGTAGGACTTTGTCAAATGCTTTCTGAAAGGCCAAATATACTACATCAACTAGTTTCCCCTCAGCACTTCTACTGGTTACATCTTCATAGAATTTGTCAAGCATGATTTCCCCTTCATAAATCCATGCTGACTCTGTATATTCCTGCCATTGCTGTCTAAATGCTCCACTATGAAGCCCTTGATAATGAATTCGAGAATTCTCCCCATTACCCATGTTAGGCTCACTGGTCTATAATTCTCTGTTTTCTGTCTACCTCCCATTTTGAATATTGGAGTGATATTAGCCACCCTCTAATCTGTAGGGACTGTTTCAGAGTCTATAGAATCATGGAAGATGACCACCAATGCATCCACTATTTCTAGAGTATTCCTTAAGTATTCTGGGATGCAGATTATCAGGCCCTGGGGATTTATCCGCCTTCAATCCCATCAATTTTCCCAGCACCATTTCTGTACTAATATTGATCTCCCTTAATCTTCCCTCTCACTAAATCTTGCATTCTCCAACATTCCTGGTATCTGATTTGTGTCCTCTTTTGTGAAGACAGAACCAAAGTATGTATTCAGTTGCTCAGCCATTTCTTTGTCCCCTATTACATATTCTCCCGATTCTGTCTGTAGGGAACCTACACTTGTCTTCACCAATCTCTTTCTCTTCATGTACCTAAAGAAACTTTTAGTCTCCGTCTTTATGTTCCCTGCAAGCTTACTTTCGTAGTGTATTTTCCCCTTCTTACTCAATCTCTTGGTCCTCCTTTGCTGAATTCTAAACTGCTCCCAATCCTCTCATATTATTTTCCTTGGCCAATCTACATGCTTCTTCCTTGGATAGGATACTATCTCTAATTTCCTTTGTAAGCCATGGATTGGCCCTCTTAACCATTTTGCTATTGTGCCAGACAGGAATAAACAGTTGTTCAGTTCCCCTGTACATTCCTTGAATGTTTGCCATTGTCTATCCACTGTCATCCCTTTAAGTAACTCTCCCCAATGTATCAAGGCCAACTCATGCCTCATATCTTCATCATTAAGATTCAGCATCCTAGTCTCTGAGTCAAGTACCTCATTCACCATCTTGATTAGAAAGTCTATCATGTTATGGTCACTCATTCCCAAGGGACCTTGCACATCTAGATTGGCAATGATTCTTTTCTCATTCCACAGCACCCAGTCTAAGATGGCCTGCTCTCTAGTTGGTTCCTTCACATATTGGTCGAGAAAACCATCCCGTATACACTCCAGGATTTCCTCCTCTGCTGCATTCTGGCTAATTTGATTTGTCCAATCTATGTGCAGATTAAAATTACCCGTGATCACCAATATTGCCTTATCACATGCATCTCTAATTTCCTTTTCAATGCCATTCTCATCATCACCAGTGGAGTTTGGGGGTCTGTTTATCACACCCGCTAATGGTTTTTGCCCCTTCTTATTTCTCAACTCTACCTGTACAGACTCCACATTGTCAGAGCTAATATCCTTTCTCACTATTGTGTTAATTTCCTCTTTAACCAGCAATGCCACACCACCACCTTTTCCTTTTTGCTTGTCCTTCCTACGTACTGAATACCCTGGGACATTCAGTTCCCATCCCTGGTCACCCTGCAGCCATGTCTGCACAATCCCAATTATATTGTACCCATTTACATCTATGTAATTATTTCATCCACTTTATAGTAAATGCTCCGCGCATTAGGGTACAAAGTGTTTAAGCTGTTCTTTTTAACAGCTTAAAAAGCTTATTTTTCTCAATAACCCTGTTTGAATTTGTCCTTGGTTTCTTTGCCTGTCACTATTCGTATTCTGTTTTCTAGCTTTTGTTTTTGTCCTTGTTCCCTCCTTCCCTGACTCCTTACATAGGTTCCCATCCCCCTGGCATATTAGTTTATAACCTCCCCAGTCGCTCAGCAAACACAACCCCGAGGACATCAGTCCCAGTCCTGCCCAGATGTAACATGTCCAATTTTTACAAGTACTACCTCTCCCAGAATTGGTCCCAATGTCCCAAGAATCTGAAACTCTCTCCCGGACACCATTTTTTAAGCCACGTATTCATCTGATATATCCTGCCATTTCTCCGCTGACTAGCACATGGCACCAGTAGTCATCCTGAGGTCATACCTTTGAAGGTCCGATTTCTTAACTTTCTTCCTCGCTCCCTGTATTCTGTGGGTCAAGTTGTGGATAGTGCGGAGGGCTGTTCTAAGTTACAATGGGACATTGAAAGGATGCAGAGTTGGGCTGAGAAGTGGCAGATGGAGTTTAACCCTGAAAAGTGTGAGGTGATTCATTTTGGAAGGACAAATTTGAAAGCAGAATACAGGGTTAACGGAAAGATTCTTGGCATTGTGGAGGAGCAGAGGGATCTCGGGGTTCATGTCCACAGTTCCCTGAAAGCTGCCACTCAGGTGGATACAGTTGTTAAGAAGGCGTATGGTGTGTTAGCTTTCATGAATAGAGGGATTGAGTTCAAGAGCCGTGAAGTTATGGTCCAGCTATACAAAAGCCTGGTTCGGCCACATCTGGAGTATTGTGTCCAGTTCTGGTTGCCTCATTAGAGGAAAGATGTGGAGGTGTTGGAAAAGGTGCAGAGGAGATTTACCAGGATGTTGCCTGGAATGAAGGGAAGGTCTTACGAGGAAAGGTTGAGAGAGCTAAGGCTTTTCTCTTTAGAACGACGAAGGATGAGAGGTGACTTGATAGAGGTGTACAAAATGATCAGAGGTATAGATAGAGTGGACAGCCAGAGACCTTTACCTAGGGTGGAGGTAGCTATTACGAGGAGGCATAGTTTTAAAGTGAGTGGAAGTAGATATCGGGGAGACGTCAGAGGTAGGTTCTTTACTCAGAGAGTGGTCGGGGTGTGGAATGCATTGCCGGAGAGGGTCGTGGACTCGGCCTTGTTAGGGGCATTTAAGCAGCTGTTAGATAGGCATATGAATGATAGTATAAGGTAGGGGTGGAGGTTAGATAGACCTTAGGTTTAGGGTAAAAGTTTGGCACAACATCGTAGGCCGAAGGGCCTGTACTGTGCTGTACTGTTCTATGTTCTATGTTCTATGCTCTTAGGACCTCGTCCCTGGCCTGTCCTGTGGAGCAAGAGGAGCAAACCAAGAGTTTGTCCTGCCATGGTTTACCTCTTTAATTTAAACCTTGGACAGTAATTTGCATTATATTAAATCAAATCCAGTTATCTGTGGCCCTTCTATCCTGGTCTTTGTACTACCCGTATAGTACTTTTTTTGGCTTCTAATCTGTAAGTGATACCTGCCTTACCCTTACTCCCCAGTCAGCGCTGTCCCTCATGGCCACATGCAGCAGTGCAAGGGCACTCACTTTCCCTTGCTGATCCTCACAGTGACTTTTTTTTTGGTTAGATGAGGAGGGATGGAAACAGTGAAGTAGTGTTTTGGGTTTAACTGTCCCTTGACAACACTCCCCCCACAAACCACCATTTGGTAGTGGTGACTGCATTGATGCAAATCTTCATCCCAACCTTCAATCAGCCATTTCTGAAGAAGGGTCCCAACCCGACACGTCAGCTTTCCTGCTCCTCTGGTGCTGCCTGGTGTGCTGTGTTCCTCCAGCTCCACACAATAATTTTATGAGGCTTGTTTTACATTTCAGAACCTTGCATTTAAAACATCCCTTCACCACAAGGGGATTGAGGGGTTTCTGAAAAATTGAGTCATGTTTCATCAGAGAACAGTAATGTATTTTTTTTAATGTTGACCCAATCTAGGAGAAAATAGCAGAATTGCAAGCTGAGCTCACAGATTTCACCAGGCAATACACGTGCAGACTGGATCAGATGAATACGTTGACATTGGAAAAGAGGAGAATTGAAACACAGTTAAATAACCAACAGAAGAAAATGGTAATATTTTAAAATCATATCTAACACTCAAATACGTGTAGTCATCCTAAAGGAGGGTGATGAGTTGATAATATTGGTTTCTAGTTTAATTCAGCTCCCTTCAGGTTTCCTATATGATGTGATTTTCAAATCTATTTAAGATGCTGATTTTTACACTGATGATGTATATTTCAGTGAATTCTGACCCTTGCATCGAAGAATTCCAAATGCCTTGAGCCAATATTTGTTCTTTAAAGTTTTCAACTCATAGATGATAACAAAATCAATCCCCATATTAACGTATTAAAAATATTGAAGTTGCTGTAATATTCTTAGCCACCTTAAAACAAATTATATTGGAAGAATACCAAGAAGTAATCTTGCCTGGTCTACTTTGTAGTATATGCTTCTTTTGTGACATTTTCCCATACTATTTTCATGAAGTGTGATGCATTAAACCCCATAAAGTGTTAACCTGTGGTATCATAAAAGGAAGTGACAAATGCCTGTTATCGGAATCTACGAACATAAACTTAGCTCGTGGTAGGGAGCATTCTCATAACAGTAAATATTTTAGAATAATGTTAGAGTTTTCTAGCTATAGTTGTTATTACCAACCTAATAACACAATGCCCCTACCTCCCACCCCATGTCAAAGTGCAGGGAGCTTATCACTTCAGTGACACAAATTTATTACAGAATTCATTTAGGAAATGTTAGATGCAGGACCTTGTGTCTGATCCAACACTGCACACGATTAACATTGTGGACATAAAAGCTGGAGCTGAGCACAGTGACATAGGAATCAACAGTTGTTGAGAAGTGGAAATGGCCCTTGTGAAGCTGATGCTCTTGGATTCCCACCAGGACACCATTATTTGTTTCTTTGGATTGCATGCCAAGATCATATTTTCTTTAGAAATAAAACCTCCGCTTTAGTGATGCAATCCACCTTTCACAATTGTTCACAGCACCAACAGCACCAATTGATAGTGTAGCACCGAAGGGTGGGCTATTTGACCCAAATGAGCTATAGGGTAGGTTGGAACCTGATTTTAGCCTCTGCTTTAAAGGTTAAAAGGTTTTCCTCGAAGGTCCCAACCTCTTAAAATTCAGACAACTTGCTGTTTTTACTGAAATTAACTGGGGAAAGGTTGGTATATATGCTGAAATGGAGGAGGAGGAGGAAGGAATAAAGAGTAGTTGGAGATGGAGCCACTCTGGGACCATCCCTCCCCCACCCCATCTTCAGCATATATACCAACCTTTTGCTAGCTACAACTAGTGCTGATGGAGGGTCATTGGACCCAAACGTTAATTCTGCTTTCTCTCCACAGATGCTGCCAGACCTGCTGAGTTTTTCCAGCAATTTCTGTTTTTCAGCATTCGCAGTTTTTCTTTTTGCCATTTTTACTCATGGATTCATCCATGTATAAAATTGCAGTTTCCCAGGATGCAGCAGAGCATTTGGTTATTCCAAAGATGCTCCTTTCTCTATCAACCAATATGGTTCTGGGCTATTGTCAAAACAAAAGTTATAAGATAAATTTTAACTATTTATTCAGGTTTATAATGAGCAGTTTGAAGTTAAAGCAATTGCTGCATCAGCAAGGAAGTGATGAAATATAAATGTCCAGTTCAAACAGATAGACTACTGTTTACCTCTTCTGTAGATTTGTGTTTCAGTTGCAAAACATTCTATACACTTATTTCTATAAAAGTTTCTAGCTCTGAGATCTCCAACCTCCCTTTCCGAAGATCTTGTTGTCAAAGTCCATATCCAAGCTAGCAATAACTGAATGTGTAAACTTCACAGGTTTCCTAATTAGAGGAAACAGCTTCTCAAAACTTACATTAATAAATTCATTGCCAAAGTCACTGATTTCTGTATTCTCTTGATAATGACTCCTTCTCATCAGTTACTATGTTCTGTCTTCAAAATACCCCCATTGACATGCACCCCCACCCTCACAATGTTTGTGAACTACAGCCATACTCCCATTCTTCTTTTCTTTCACCAAGTTCTTGAATGTGTTATTGTCTCACAATTCTGTACCCATTTTTTCCATACATTCCATATAAACACATGACTATAATATTCTGTAGCATGACCATGGAACCCACCAGATTGTTGTAAAAATCTAGCTAGTCTCAGAGAAGGAACTTGCTACCTTTTATGCAGTCTGACTACATGCCACTCCATTTCCAGTATATGGTAGACTGAATGCCCAGACGACACCACACAGCCGGACAATAAATGCTGTTGAAGAACATTGATAATATCTACTGTAGCAATTTATCAAGTTGAATCTAATTGCTAACATCTAGCAAAACACAAAGAGCTAATTTGCACGCCTTCATTGCTCATGAGATTTTTGTTCTGTTCTCGGAGCCTAGGAAAAGTCATATGTGGATGTACAGCACAGGAACAGACCCTTTGGTCCAACCCATCCATGCCGAACAGATGTCCTAAATTAATCTAGCCCCATTTGCCAGCATTTTCCCCATATTCCGCTAAACCCTTCCTCTTCATATACCCATCCAAATGCCTTTTAAATGTTGTAACTGTACCAGCCTCCACCACTTGCTCTGGCAGCTCATTCCGTATATGCATTACCCTCTGCATGAAAAAGTTGCCCCTTAGGTCCCTTTTAAATCTTTCCCCACTCACCCGAAAATTATGCCCTCTAATTTTGGACTCCGACACTTCAGGAAAAATACCTTGGCTATTCACCCTACGCACATCCTTCATGATTTTATAAACCTCTAAAAAGGTCACCCCTCAGCCTCCAAAGCTCCAGGGAAAATAACCCCAGCCTATTCAGCCTCACCCTCTAGCTCAAACCTGCCAACCATAGCAACATCCTTGTAAATCTTTTCTGAACTCTTTAAAGTTTCACAAATTCTTTCCTATAGCAGGGAGACCAGAACTGCACACAGTATTCCAAAAGTGGCCTAACTAATGTCCTGTACAGCTGCAACATGACCCTCCAATTCCTATACTCAACGTACTGACCAATAGAGGCAACCATACCATACACCTTCTTCCCTTTTCTTTCTACCTGCAACTCCACTTTCAAGGAATTTTGATCCTGCACTCCAAGGTCTCTTTGTTCAGCAACATTCCCCAGAACCTTACTATTAAGGGTATAAGTCATGTCCTGATTTGCCTTTCCAAAATGCAGCACCTCACATTTATCTGAATTATATATAAATTCAGACCAAACATGACAGTTCAAAAATGCATTTTTACTAAACTGTTAAGCAGGTTAATCATCCTAAATATCCTCTGATCCAATCTTATCCTGTTCTCCTCTTCAATCACATCTTGCTCATCACCTTCAGCAGCATCTTCGTTATTAAAAATTGACTGTTTCCTTAATTGTTCTTCTCGGGGTGCAAGTCAAAGATTTCCCATTAATTTCAGGACTTATATTTGTGTATTGGGTGTTCTAATTGTTAATGGTCAGTAGAGTTAGAGCTACTTTTTCAGCCCCTGTGCCGATCCAGGAGGGAGTGCAGTCTGTAGGTGGAAAGCATTCAGTCAACCAGAGCTGCCAGCTATTGAGAGGATACTAGTGCAGAACGATGGTCAATACAAAGCTGTTGATTCTCGTGATGGCTGTGAGACAACAGAAGATCATCCTGGGATGGAAGAAATGGGGTTTTGGGGTCAAAAACAAGGGCAGAACGGTGGCTCAATGGTTAGCATTGCTGCCTCACAGTGCCAGGATTGCGGGTTTGAATCCAACCTCGGGAGAATTTGTGGAGTTTGCATGATCTCCCCATGTCTGCGTAGGTTTCTGCCGGGTGCTATGGTTTCCTTGCATAGTCCAAAGATGTGCAAGTGAGGTGGATTGGCTATGCTAAGTTGTCCATAGTGTCCAAGGATGTGTAGGTTAGACGCATTAGCCACAGGAAATGTAAGGTTACAGGGATAGAGTAGGGGGGGGGGTGAGTTTGGGTGGGATGCACTTTGGAGGGTCATTGTGGACTTGTTGGGCCGAATGACCTGTTTCCACACTCTGGGAATTTTATGATTGATTCTACATTTCGCAATTCAGTTTTTTAATCTGTAAAGATTGAAATTTAGGGATCTCACATCTAACATAGAACATAGAACAGTTCAGGCCCTTCGGCCCACGATGTTGTGCCAAACTTTTACCCTAATCCTAAGGTCTATCTAACCTCCATCCCTACCTTATACTATCATGCATATGCCTATCTAATAGCCGCTTAAATGCCCCTAATGAGGCCGACTCACTACCCTCTCTGGCAATGCATTCCACGCCCTGACCGCTCTCTGAGTAAAGAACCTATCTCTGACATCTTCCTTGTATCTACCTCCACTCACTTTAAAACTATGCCCCCTCGTAATAGCTACCTCCACTCTAGGAAAACGTCTCTGGCTGTCCACTCTATCGATACCTCTGATCATTTTGTACACCTCTATCAAGTCACCTCTCATCCTTCGTCATTCTAAAGAGAAAAGCCTTAACACTCTCAACCTTTCCTCATAAGACCTTCCCTCCATTCCAGGCAACATCCTGGTAAATCTCCTCTGCACCTTTTCCAACGCCTCCACATCTTTCCTGTAATGAGGCGACCAGAACTGAACACAATACTCCAGATGTGGCCGAACCAGGCTTTTGTATAGCTGGAGCATAACTTCACGGCTCTTGAACTCAATCCCTCTATTAATGAAAGCTAACACACCATACGCCTTCTTAACAACTCTATCCACCTGGGTGGCAGCTTTCAGGGAACTGTGAACATGAACCCCAAGATCCCTCTGCTCCTCCACAATGCCAAGAATCTTTCCATTAACCCTGTATTCTGCTTTCAAGTTTGTCCTTCCAAAATGAATTACCTCACACTTTTCAGGGTTAAACTCCATCTGCCACTTCTCAGCCCAGCTCTGCATCCTATCAAAGTCCTAGAACAGCCCTCCGCACTGTCCACAACGTGACCCACCTTCGTATCATCCACGAACTTGCTAATCCACCCTTCCACTCCTTCATCCAAATCATTTACAAAAATCACAAATCCTTGTGGTACACCACTCGAACTGAGCACGATGTTGAATATTTTCCGTCCACTACCACCCTTTGTCTTCTAAGGGTCAGCCAATTCTGAATCCAATCTGACACATTTCCCCCTAGCCTATGCCTCCTTACCTTCTGCATGAGCCTACCATGGGGAACGTTATCAAACGCCTTACTTAAATCCATGTATACCACATCCACTGCTCTACCTTCATCCACGTGTTTGGTCACCTCTTCAAAGAATTCAGTAAGGTTTGTGAGGCATGATCTACCCCTCACAATTCCATGCTGACTATCACGAATCAAACTGTGCCTTTCCAAGTGATCATAAATCCTATCTCTTAGAGTCCTTTCCAATAATTTGCCCACCACTGATGTAAGACTAACTGGCCTGTAATTTCCAGGATTATCCCTATTCCCTTTTTTGAACAAGGGAATGACGTTTGCCTCTCTCCAATCTTCCGGCACTATACCCGTGGACAGTGAGGATGAAAAGATCATCGCCAAAGGCCCTGCGATCTCTTCCCTCGCTTCTCATAGAATCCTTGGATAAATCCCATCAGGCCCGGGGGACTTATTCCTTACTAACATCAACCTCCTCTAGCTTACCAGCCTGTTTCACACTGTCCTCCTCTATAACTAGGTTCCTCTCAGTTGTGAATACCGAAGAAAAGTATTCATTAAGGACCTCTCCTATCTCTTAGGCTCCGCGCACAAATTCCCTTTACAATCCCTGATCGGCCCTACCCTTTCTCTGATCATTCTCTTATTCCTCAAGTACGTGTAAAAAGCCTTGGAGTTTTCCTTGATCCTATCTGCCAAGGTTTTCTCATGCCCCCTTATAGCTCTTCTAAGCTCTTTCTTCAGCTCCTTCCTGGATAACTTGTATCCCTCTAGAGCCTTTTCCGTTCCTTGTTTCCTAAACCTTACATAAGCATCCTTCTTCCTCTTAACCAGTCATTCGACCTCTCTTGAGAACCAAGGCTCCCTCACTCGACCACATCTTCCCTGCCTGCTAGGGACAAACATATCGAGCACACGCAGTATGCATTCCTTAAACAGTCTCCACATTTCAATAGTGCTCTACCCTGACAGCATCTGTTCCCAATTTATGTTACTCAGTTCTTGCCTAACAGAATTGTAATTACCCTTCCCCCAATTATAACTTACCATGCTGAATTATAAATCCGGTTCCCCACCCCCTGACAATCTAATTTAAACCATCCTGTATAGCTCGAGCAAACCTCCCTCCCAGGATATTTGTGCCGTTACTGTACAGGTTCCACCTTCCCCAGAATGTGCTCCAATTATCCACATAATGGAAGCCCTCCCTCCTACACCAGCCCTGTAGCCACGTGTTTAGCTGCACTCTCTCCCTATTTCTTACCTCGTTATCACGTGGCACTGGTAGTAATCCAGAGATAACTACCCTGTTTGTCCTGGACTTCAGCTTCCAACCTAACTCCCTGTACTCGTTTTTCACATTCTCAGTCCTTTTTCTCCCTATGTCATTGGTACCGATGTGTACCATGACTGCTGGTTGCTCAGCCTCCCCCTTAAGGATCTTGAAGACACGATCCGAGACATCATGGACCCTGGCACCCGGGAGGCAACATACCATCCTTTCACCTCGTTCACATCCACAGAACCGCTTGCCTGTGCCTCTTCCTTTCGAGTCCCCCACTACAATTGCTCTCCTATTCTCACCCCTTCTCTTCTGTGCCTCAGGGTCAGGCTCAGTGCCAGAGACCTGTCCGCTACGGCCTTCCCCCGGTAGATCATACCCCTCAACAGTATCCAAAACGGTATACTTATTATTGAGGAGAACGGCCACAGGGGATCCCTGCACTGTCTGCCTATTCCCTTTCCCCTTCCTGACAGTCACCCAGCTACCTTTTTCCTGTACCTTGGGTGTGACCACCTCCCTGTAACTCCTCTCTATCACCCCCTCAGCCTCCCGAATGATCCGGAGTTCATCCAGATCCAGCTCCAGTTCCCTAACGCGGTCTGGGAGGAGCTGGAGTTGGGTGCACGTCTTGCAGGTGAAGTCAAAGGGGACACCAGCAGTGACCCTTACCTCCCACATCCTGCAAGAGGAGCATGCCACTGCCCTAGCTTCCATTCCCTCTACTCTAGATTTCCAGAAGAATTTTAATAAAAAGCCTTACCTTACCGACCCTCCACACAGTCTTTTTTTTTTGGTTAGAGGACAAGGATGGGTGGGAGACCCTACACGTGTAGTGTTTTGGGTTTAGCCAATGCCCGAATATATCAGTTCCTTCTTGGCTCGTGTTCTCTCCACACACCCGCCGCAAGGTTTTCAAAGGGAGCATAATGGAGCATACATTTGTCATGCTTGAAGCTCAGCGAACAATAATATTCCATCAGTTGTAATATTAGGAAAACAAAAAGGACACTAAAGTGCAATTCACAGTAATGGATTTAGCAAGTGTACTGATATGCAAAATCTATCTTTGGGGAAGATGAAGTAAATGTACTTGGAATTTTTTTTTATATTTCATTGTTATTTGGTTTAGAGTGATTTAGCACTAATTGGAAAAATAACAATTGAGAATTTTTTCACGTGCACATATACAGGTCTGTCTCATACTGTCTCTGAGCCTTAATAGTTTCCTAATTTATACTCACTACAGTATCATGAATACAAACTGAAGTCATTTGGAACTGATTGTGAACATTACTGTTCTTGACCTAGGGTGTTGAGATTCAGAAGCAAAAGGCAACATTGGAAGAGAGGCGGGACTTGATGCAAATTGTGGAACAACAAGCAAAAGAAATTAACAAACTGAAAGATGAAATTGGTACACTAATCCGGAAAGGAGGTCACATCCTTCCTCCCTCCCAACCACCTTTAGCACAGTGAAGCTCTTAGCTAATATACATAATGTATCTCTTTTCTTGCATTTGTTTTAAATTTTTGTTTTCCTTGTATATGATTTCAAATTGGTTTGACAATAAATGAGTCAATAATAAATATTTGATATGTTCTCTTGATATAAATTTGTGGATTCTCTTTAATTGAAGGTTGAGATTCTTCTCAATGAGTTTATACTTTCAAATCCAACATGTCTTCAAGGAGACCTCAGTCACTCCATTCTACAGGAAGCTATTCTAACAAATTGTAACGGCTACATCATCAGTTGGAGTAAATACAACCTCAAGATAGGTTTAAAAAGTTTTGCTTTGTTTTATCATATACCTAGATGTTGAACGTTACCCTAAGACACTCACTAAATCCTATGTCATGTAAAAAAAAAATTAACGTATTGACTTGCCTTAAAGAAAAGGCAGAGATTCAGGGCTCTTCTCAAGAGATTTTTTTGAGCTGGTTTGAAGGCCAGATTTTTTCCAATTTTTGTTTAGGAATCCATATGGCAAGAGTAAAATTAACAAGAACTCAACGTTCAAAAGAATCTACCAAATCCAGAGCATTAGTCATAAAGTAACATACCAGTGCCAGGGAATGCTAAGAGGTGCAAACACTGATAATAGTGCACAGACATGAGTTCTCTGCTCCAGTTTCTCATGACTCTACATGAACATGCTCCAATAAGGCAACTTCCAGGCAGGTAAGATTAACCATGCTACAGATGGTATCATCCAGGTAGGTGGAAGAGGTTAAATTGTGTTCCCAACCCCTCCCATCTCATTGTAAATTAAAACTCAAGCATTATCCAACATGCTCTAGTTCATGATTCCCACAATTCATTAAATTTGTAATGAGTTTAGCAGTACCGCCACCAGCTCCAATCCAAGCCGCATTGTGCCATTCCCAAACTAGACCCCAACCTTGAGCCTACCATATTAGTATGGTAATTGCTGAACCAATGGGGCTATTCAAATAATCAAGCAAGTCATGCAGGAGCCAATAAATATATCCTTATCCTTTTCCTTACCTTCCAAAAGCTCCCTAGTACCTCAATGACTGGTGTAGACAAAAGCATGTATTATACAGAACTGGGTGGTACTGATGTCTTCAATTTGCAGCAGGACTGGATACAGTGACCATAAGACATTAGGAGCAGAAATTAGGCCATTCAGCCCATTGAGTCTGCGCTGCCATTCAATCATGGCTGATAAGTTCTTCAACACCAATCTCCTGCTTTCTCCCCGTAACCCTTGATGATCAAGAACCTATTTATCTCAATCTTAAATGTACTCAATGCCCTGGCCTCCACAGCCTTCTGTGGCAGTGAATTCCATAGGTTCATCACTCTCTGGCTGAAGAAGTTTCTCCTCATCTCCGTTCTAAAAGGTCTTCCCTTTACTCGAAGGCTGCGCCCTCGGGTCCCTAGTCTCTCCTACCAATGGCAGCATCTTCCCAACATCCACGTTGTCCAGGCCATTCAGTATTCTGAAAGTTTCAATTAAATCCCCCCTCATCCTTCTAAACTCCAATGAGTATAGTCCCAGGGTCCTCAAACATTCTCCTATGTTAAGATTTCCATTTCTGGGACCATTCTCGTGAACCCCCTCTGAACCCACTCGAGGGTCAGTATATCCTTCCTGAGATATGGGGCCCAAAACTGCACACAATACTCCAAATGTGGCCTGACCAGAGCCTTATAAAGCCTCAGTAGTACATCCCTGCTTTTATATTCAAGTCCTCTCAAAATAAATGCCAACATTGCATTTGCCTTCCTGACTACTGACTCAACCTGCAAGTTTACCTTGAGAGAATCCTGGACTAGAACTCCCATGTCTCTTTGCACTTCAGACTTCTCAATTTTCTCCCCATTTGGAAAATAGTCCTTGCTTTTATTCTTCTTACCAAAGTGCATGGCCTCACACTTTCCCATGTTGTACTCCATCTGCTACTTCTTTGCCCACTGTCCTAACCTGTCCCAATCCTTCTGCAGCCTCTCCACCTCCTCAATACTACCTGTCCCTCTACCTATCTTTGTATCGTCTGCAAACTCACCCAGAATGCCTACAGTTCCTTCATCTAGATCATTAATGTATAAAGTGAAAAGTTGTGGTCCCAACACTGACCCTTAGAGAACAGCACTTGTCACCGGCTGCCATCCTGAGAAAGACCCTTTTATCCCCACTCTGCGTTTTGCCAGACAGCCAATCTTCTATCCATGCTAGCACCTTGCCTCTAATACAATGAGCCCTTATCTTACTCAGCGGCCTCCTGTGTGGCACCTTGTCAAAGGCCTTCTTGAAGTACAGGTAGAAAACATCCATTGGCTCTCCTTGGTCTACCCTGCTCGGTACTTCCTCAAAGAATTCTAGCAGATTTGTCAGGCATGACCTCCCCT